TGCAGCCATTATGGAAAACAGTATGGAGTTTCCTCAAAAAATTAAATATGGAACTGCCATTTGACCCAGTCATCCCACTTCTAGGAATATATCCTCAGAAACCCGAAACACCAATCAGAAAGAATGTATGCACCCCTATGTTCATAGCAACACAATTTAATATAGCTAAATCTAGAAACAGCCCAAGTGCCCATCAGTAGATGAGTGGATTAAAAAGCTGTGGTACATTTATACCATGGAATACTATGCAGCAGTAAAAAAGGATATTTTACCCTTTGAGACAGCGTGGAAGGACCTGGAGAGTATTATACTAAGCAAAATAAGCCAGTCAGAGAAAGACAAATATCACATGATCTCACTCATATGTGGAATCTAATGAACAAAATGAACTGATGAACAAAAGTAGATCCAGAGACATAGAATAGACTGCGGAATCTCAGAGGGAGAGTGGGTGGGTGGGGAGTGATCAACCAAAGAACTTGTATGCAAATATGCATAACCCATGGACACATACAATGGGGTGGTGAAGGCTTGGGGGGGGCTAGAAAGGGTTAATGGGGGGAAAGGGGACATATGTAATACTTTCAACAATAAAGATGTAATTAAAAAAATTTTTTGAGGGAGAAAGAAACATCGATTTGTTGTTCCAATTATTTGTGCATTCATTGTTTGATTCTTGTATGTCCCCGGCAGAAGATGAACCCGCAGCCTTGGCGTATAGGGACCCGCTCTAACCAACTGAGCACCGGGCCAGGGCAGAGGAGGGGCCATTTCAGCTGAAAGCAGGAGAGAAAGCAGCTTTGTCCAGAAGAGAGAGGAAGGCGTGTTTCTGGCAGTGGGCATAGCGCGTTCAAAGGCCAGCTGGAGAGGTGGGTCTGAGGGAGGCCTAGTCTGGAGAGGGATGCGAGAAAGGTGGGGGGCGAGGGGGAGGGCGCAATCACCGCGCGAGAAGGCTCTTGGGGGCAGAGCTTTCGATAGGCGCCCTCTCATTGGCCGCCAGATGGTCCAATCAGGGGCGGTCACGGGGGCGTGGTCAGAGGCGGAGTTGCATCCCTTCCTGGGTCCTGAGCTTTAGACGACTTGCCTGTGATGGAGATTGGAGGAGATGGAGATGGATCCCGACCCAACCCGGCTTCCCACCCTCGTCCAGATTTGTACCCTTAGGGAGTGCCATTTCCCGACATCCAAACCGGAAAAGCAAGCCAGAAGTCACCACTGTACCCGCATCTCCCATCGCACTGATGTCCCGTCTGTAAAACACAAGGGTAAGGACTACACAGGGGTTCAAACCCGAGCTGGGGTCTCTCTCCAGCTGTGCGATCTCCCAGGGCCTCAGTTTCTCCATCGCTTGAACAGCCTCCACTTAGGGTTGCTGTGGGGTTTACCCGAATTAAAAGCACGCTGAGCATGAACCAGCCCCTGTACGTGCTAATGAAACCAGACAACCACTGGGGCCGGGCTGCCTGTCACAACTTGAGCCAATTAAGCAGAGACAGGGTTGACTCATATTCGAGCATTTATTCCAATAGTGCCAGCAGTATGCGAGAGCAGCAGGTCACCCACAAAAATCTGCTCTACTCCTCCCCATAAACCAGCTGCTTGTATTGGGTAGAAGGACAAAAGATTACATGGGAAGGCAGGAATTACAGGCACGGGGAAGTAGGCGAGGTATAACGGTTATAGGTTACAGGCAATGTGAGCTTGGGGGGGGGGTGTTGCAAAGAGCGGGCACCTCTAGGACCAGATTGTACAGTTCTCGGAAAAGGAGGATGGACTGCATTCCGGTGTTAACTCCCATGTCCTGGGGCATACAACTCTCAGCCAGGTTAGAATGTGCTTCCTCTAATCAGAACAGAAATCATGGTTAACAGAGCATGATTAATATCTATAGATATATAAGCCAAGCGACCTGAACAACCGGTCGCTATGACGTGCACTGTGGCGGCCAACCAGCCCAATCAGGCCCAATCAATGGGTTGGCACCTCCAAC